ATCTCCATCTCCATCTCCATCTCCATCTCCATCTCCATCTCCATCTCGCGCGTGCACACTCCCTCTCCATCTCCATCTCCATCTCGCGCGTGCACACTCCCTCTCCATCTCCATCTCCATCTCCATCTCGCGCGTGCACACTCCATCTCCCTCTCCATCTCGCGCGTGCACATTCCCTCACTCCCTCTCCATCTCGCGCACACGCACTCCCTCACTCCCTCTCCATCTCGCGCGCATGTGCGTGCACACTCACTCACTTTCCATCTCACTTGCGCATGCGCTCTCGCACTCTACAGCTCCCGCGCGCGCACAGTTGCTCACTCTCCATCTAGCGCGCGCACACTCAGTCACTATCTCCCACACGCGCGTGCAAACTCACTTTCCATCTCGCGCGCACGCTCACTCACTGACTGACTCTACATCTCCCGCGAGCGGGCTCACTCACTCTCCAGCTCGCGCGCGCGCTCCCTCAATCCATCTCCATCTCCATCTCTCGCGCGCACGCTCACTCACTCCCCTCCCTCTCCATCTCACACGCGCACGCTCACGCTCACACACAATCCCACACACAGTCCCTCACACACACATTCTCACGTGCACACACACACTCTCCCCCTACCCTCCCGCAAGCACACATCCTCTCACACACACCCACCCACACACTGCATTATATGAGACAGTTATCGTGGAAACTCATGGAATTGAAGACAAATAATTCAGCTGGTAGAAAATTGGCTACACACTTGGTGCCAGTGAAAGGGGATAATGAGCATTTATGTCAATTGAGAATGTGGTTAGTGATTTCCTGCAAGATATCAAGGCCTTAAGTACTCTCTACATTTGGACCTCCTTTATGCTGGCCAGATCAGACAGAGCATTACAGGAAAAAAGCATGCAGTTTTTCAGACCCATCTTCAAACAGTGGATTCTCAACAACACACCAAGCAGAAGAGTCCTGACAGAAAGAAAAGAAAACAAAAAGGAAATAAAGATAGTGTCTGCAAGAATAAGTCAGAGGCTTGGATTCCTACAACAAATAACACCTCCTGACTCCCGAAAGCCTATCCACCACAAGTCCGGAGTGTGTTGGAATACTCCCCATTTGCCTGGATGGGCCCACTTTCAACAACATACAAGAAGCTTGACACCATACAGGCCAAAGCAGCCCACTTGATTGGCACCACATCTACAATTATCCACTCCCTCCAGCACCACAGTACACAGTGCTGGTACTATCTACAAGATGCACAGCAGAAATTCACCAAAGATCCTCAGACAACACCTTCCAAACCCACAACCACTTCTATCTGGGAGGACAAGGACAGCATATAACATGGGAACATCATCACCACTACCTGCCAGTTCTTCTCCAAGCGACTCACTGCCAGACTTAGAAATATATTGCCATGTCTTCACTGTTGCTGGGTCAAAATCCTGGAATTCCCTCCCTAAAGCACTGTGGGTTACCTCCAAGGCTGTGACTCATAACCACCTTCTCAAGGGCAACTAGAGTCAGGCATAAATACTGGCCAACTAGCAACGTCCACGTCCCATCAGTGAATTTTAAAAACAGAAAACTTCAATGATGGTGCAGTGCAGAAGTGCAAAAGACAAAGCTTTCCAAATGGACCTCAGCTACCAGGGCCAAGTGGATAATCCTTGTTTTCCTCCTGAGTTATCCACATCTTGACTGCCACCCGATATACCACCTTCAACTTACTCACTCTGACACCAAAATGTGGTAGCAGCGTGAATCATGTACAAAATGCACTGCAGCAATTCATTAAGGCTCTTTCTATAACACATGACATCTCCAAACTCATGACATCTACCAGCAAATGCATGGGAACACCATTAACTGCAAGCTCCCCTTTAAGCCACACAAGGAGGTTAACTTGAAACCATATCACCATTTTTCCCACTAGCACAGGGTCAAAATCAAGTAACTCATGCTGACCGCACTGTGGATTTTCTAACACCCCACAGACAGGAATAACTCACTACCATTTTGTGATGGGTGACAAACGCTGACTTAGCTCACGACACACACATTCTGAGAATGATTATGAAAAAAAACTTACATCTAGCCAATTTCAGCTGCTTAACATATAACATGAGATCAAGAATCACTACTCATTGTAATGTCTGCTATTTTTTCAAATACTGATATTTAGATACTTTTATGCAGTAAAGTCCAGATACAGTCAAGATCTGGATGAGTGGGAGAGACAGTACAAGTCACATCATACAAGTACCATGCACTGACCATCTTCAGTGAAAGAGCATCTCACCAACTCCATGTGACATTCAATTAGTTCACCATCAGTCCAACTTCACATTAACACCATCACCACACTGAAAATTAATTACACCAGCCACACAAACATCATGGACTACAGCCAGTGAGAGACCTTGTATCTTGCAGCAAGTGGATCATCTCGACTTTCCAAAAATTATGATTCCGAAAAAAAAAAAATCAGCATTTTGGTCAGATATTCTCAATTTGCTTGAATGTAGCAACCATAACATTTGAGAAGTGTAATATCACCCGGGGCACAACAGTTTGCTTTATTGGGGCAAATCATCCAGCTGCCTAAATACCCACTTTCGCCATCAGCAGCATGCTGTAGCTGCTGCATGTATTTCTTTTAAAACATAAAATGTACTGTTTCAACTAGCAAAGGCTTTCTTTCTCAGCAGCACCACCACCATCTCAAAAGTTAAGGATAACAGGTACATGAGAGAACACCATAACCTCCATGCTTACTTCAGATCATAAACCATTCTGACTTGAAAATATAACAAGATTTTTTTTTGAGTTGATCATTAGTACGGTCAATCTAAAACAAGTTGGTTTGTCTGGTGTCTGCTTTCATTCCTTAGCAATGGCATGTTCAAACAGTACCCCGGCACCATGCGGCATTCTGATTCCACCTGTCAAAGATAGTGCAGTGCTTGTCGTAGCAAATGAGGTGCAAAGCTTTGAAAGCAACATGCCCCAAAAAAAGAAGTGTCAACAAGGAAGGAGTTCACAACACTCTTGTTCTTGCATGAAATCATGGCGGAAAAATGAACCTGGTCAACACTCTGCAGTAGGGTAAGCTCAGCTTCAGTATTTTCCTTCCCTTTTTGGGCTTTTCTTGGTAACTTTAGCCAGTGATTGTTTCCATTTCTTTTGGGATGCACCCCCCTTAGCCACAGTGGCCACTTCAAGCATTCTAATGAACTTTTTTAAAAAATTAAAAGTGATTCCTTTATGGCCTCTAAACACTGAATCAAAATTCTAGAATTACAATGAGTATCTTCAACTGAATAAAATGTGCAGTTCAAGAAATTCAGGTTCTCGAATGGCAACAAAGATGGATTATAAATGCTAATGCAAATAATGATTTGAAATCTTGCTGTAGTCACTAAATATCAAATCACAGCTTTGACATGACTACAAAATAAATCTAAAACAAACAACAAATTTTTATTTTGTATCTAACTTTTGTGTAGAAGTACTTGAATGGTTATTGATTCTCGGCTTTGGTTCTGACCGTATTTGTGGTCCAATACTATCATAAATAATTTACGTGAACATACCTGCACTTTCTTCAAAGCTACAGGCATCCCATCTAGGAGGCATGCTGCTCGATACACTTCGCTAAATTGTCCACGGCCAATCTTCTTCTCTATTTGGAAGTTTCCCAGAGTACCAAGGCCTAAATCAGGGCGCAGGGGCTTCTGTCAATTTGAACAGTACATGAAGTCAAATACAGCGACAAAGAAAAGTAAGATACACACCATCACAGAAATAGGAAATAGCTGAACACCCCTAACCATTTTTGCTATCCTGGCACAATGATTTTTCAAGTCAATTCTTAATTCAATGCTGCTAAACTTGTAATTCATGTATAAATAGCATTACAACGCAATAAAATTCAAAGAATTTGGAAAATCTGGCAGAAGAACTAAAATTAGAATCAGAATCCTGACAGTGTGGAAACGGGCCATTTGGTCCATCGGGTCCACACCAACCCTCCAAAGAGCACCACAGACCCACCCTGCCCCTGCATTTCCCGTGGCTATTCCACCTACCGTGCCCATCCCTGGACACTATGACACTTTAGCATGGCCAATCCATCTAACTTGCACATCTTTGGACTGTGGGAGGAAACCAGAGCACCCCAAGGAAACCCAAGCAGATATGGGGACAATGTGCAAATTCCACACAATCACTCGAGGGTGGAATTGAACGTAGGTCCCTGACACTGTGAGGTAGCAGTTCTAACAACTGAGCCACCATGCCACATCTATGATCCTATGATTGTTTGGTTAAAATTAATTCTATCATTTTGAAAATTAGAAATAATATAAACTAAATGTATGTCAGATCTAACTTGGGGGTTGCCCAAAATACAGCAATAAGAACGTTTTCCAATTTGTCTTTCTTTGGAGTATTTTTAAGGCTCCTTGTGTCATAGATGATCCTTATTAATGACAGTAAGCAAATTACCCTGTCACTGACACTCTTAAATTTGCCGTCAGGAAAGTTACAAGCTTTGTTTGAAGTGCTTCCCAATTGTTCTTTCCATCTGGATAGTGAAAATGTAAAGAGAAGCAAGACTGGGTTTCTTGCTAGCTAAGTCTTTCTCAAAGAACATTACTTTAAGATAGTGATTTTAAGGAATCGTGACCATAACTATGTATGTCATTGTTCTGTAGTGTGGTGGATTGAAACACCCATATTCCACCATGCACCATTTTTGAACACTTTTAAAAAATATCATGTCTTTGAATAAGCTCAAGGTATTTACATTTTTGAGCCACTTGGGAAATCTTCACTTTATACAAGTAGCAGGTAAAATGATTACTTTATTATGAAAATACTAGTTAAAGCCTCAAATAAATGTGTTCCTGAACTTAGTTCAAGACCACTAACGTGTAAACATTTGGACGCACTGGCAGGCAAAATATGGACTATAAGACATGGGAGCAGAAATTAGGCCAATCAGCCCATTGAGTCTGCTCTGCCATGGCTGATAAGTTTCTCAACCCATTGTCCTGCTTTCTCCCCATAACCCTTGATAATCAAGAACCTATCTATCTCCGTCTTAAATATACTCAATGACTTGGCCTCCACAGCCTTCTGTGGCAGTGAATTCCATGGATTCACCACTCTCTGGCTGAAGAAGTTTCTCCTTATCTCTGTTCTAAAAGGTCTTCCCTTTACTCGAAGGCTGTGCCCTCAGGTCCTATTCACTCCTACCAATGGAAATATCTTCCCAACATCCACTCTGTCCAGGCCATTCAGTATTCTATAAGTTTCAATTAGATTCCCCTCTCATCCTTCTAAACTCCATCGAGTATAGACCCAGAGTCCTCAAACATTCCTCATATGTTAAGCTTTTCATTCCTGGACCATTCTTGTGATCCTCCTCTGAACCCACTCTAGGGCTAGTACAACTTTCCGGAGATATGGGGCCCAAATGTTATTTATTTATTCAAGTACTGTTTTTATATTGCATTAGCTTATTTTTTTGAAGCCCCATCCAAAGGTCTCACTTGGTTCAGGCAACCATGGAGGTAAAGACATATCATTCCAAAATTTCCTGAAAAAATTCATGGAATCACAGAATGGTTACAGGGCAGAAGTGAGCTATTGACCCTGTTGAGGCATTCTGGCTCTCTTGAAGAGCAATGTAGCAAATCCTACATCCCACTCTTAGCACATAGTCAGTATTATTTTTCTCTTTCAAGTAGTAACTAATTTCCTTTTAAAGCCATGATGGAGTCTGACTAACACCTGGAGGAGGAGTGAGGCTCAGAAAGCTTGTGTTTTCAAATAAACCTGTTGGACTATAACCAGGTGTCGTGTGAATTCTGATCTTGTCCACCCCAGTCCAACACCAGTACCTCCACATCATCAGCATTGAAACCAGGGCATTTTCTAGTCATAAGTATTTCCCTGTGAGCATACATTAGTTGTGACAACCTTTGAATCAAGTGCTAATGCTCTTAGCACAATGTAACAATTTAAAACAGATGAGACAGCAACCAAGAAAATGCAACACAGATCTTACAAGTGATGGACATGAAATCAACTTATTAAACTATCATGTGTGATGTCTGTTCAGTACCATATTCTGACGTAAATCTTGCTGATAATTAATTTTGGTGCAAAACAATTCAATATCAAAGCTTAAATTAGTTTTAAGATTTTCTGCTCCACCCACGTCTCCAGTCAAAGACAGTTTAAAAGATAATACTACTACTCCTCTACATACAACATTTACAACATTAAATACTTCATTAATTTCATTGCAGGCTTCAGCTTCCCCCAAATCTGCCTGCTTTACGTCCTGCTTTGATTAATGCCGATGTCATACTATTTAACTTCCCTAGCAAGTCTTGGGCCGAGTCACTATTTCACAGACTTGGGATTTGGATATTAGATCTCTGCCTCCTTCTCATTCTCTATTCCACTCCAGTCCTTCAATTCCCCAATTCTTTCACTCCCTCAACCAAACACAAGAATCTGACCGGTGGCTTCTAAAATAAATATTCAACAACTATATTTAAATTTTAGTGAATTCAATTATAAAAACATGAAACTCAAAACATCCAGCAGATCTGCTATCTAAAAGACAGAGTCTATGGTTATTTCATAGAAATGGGGTTTACACAAAGGGTCAGTGCTAGAAACATTAACCTGTCTTTTCTCACATGGCCTTCCCCATTCCCTCTTTTTCCTACAATTCCTAACACTGATTGTAGTAAAAGGCTCAGGCCCAAACTTAATGGAGCAAAACTGGTTGAGAAAGATTCACCTTGATTGGCACAACATTTTTTGATGAGAAAATGGCTGCCCAAGTGAAGCTGTAACTAAATAGCCGGAAGTTTTCAGTAAGGTATAGTGACTATCAAAAGGAGCCAAAGCTACCTTGCATGTTGACTAGGAAGCAATTCTGCAAGGTCCGCCTAGTGCCATTTGCCTTACGGCTAAAAGTACAGGCAGAAATCAAAAAGCTTGAAAGTGAAGGAATCATCAAACCAGACCAGTTTGCAGAATGGGCGGCACTGATCGTACCGATTGTGAAGCCCGATGGGTTGGCTCACCTTTGTGGGGATTTTAAGCAGACGTTTAACAGACATTTTTCTCAGCTGGATTAAAACCCAATCCCTCGCATACAGGATTTACACATGAGGGTTGTTCTTCACGAAGCTGGACATAAGTCATGCAATACTGGCAATCGGGGTTATATGAGAATTCCCAAAAGTATGCTACAATTTTGTAAATTTGTAATAATACCAGACCACAAATCCCCGCTAGGTCTACTTAAAGCAGACAAGGTAGCCTCCCAAAGCTTCAGGCCAAATTCAGAGCGAATACTAAGTGCGTATAATTACAAGTTGAAATACTGTCCAGGAGGCCAAGAAACAAATGTGGATGCATTGAACTGCCTCCCACTGGCAGATACACCACATGAATATCGCTACTGGGAGAGTTCGTCACAGTTCTAAACTTTTTGCGCACACTTCCAATCATAGCTGACAACAAACTTTGGACGCAGAAAGATCCGCTCCTGGCAAAACTGAAAGAGTTGATGGTGATGGACAAAACCAAAGGACCGACCCAACCAGAACTTAAACCTTTTTGGACTCATCGAGACCAGATCACAGTAGAGTTGGCATATTATTATGCTGAGCAAGACTGATTGTCCTGAGCAAAGAAAACCGCCAGATACTGGCTAAACTGCACCACAGTCATCCAGGGGCTTCCAAAATGAACATGTTGGTGAGAAGTTATGTCCGGAGGTCAGATTAGATGCAGACGTAGCCATATTGGTCAGGCAGTAAAACAACAAAGATAAAAATTACAGCCAGCAGCTTCCCCACATTTGTCGGAATGGCCAGGTAAACCTTTGACTCGGTTAAACGTCGACTACAAAAGTCTTTTTCTTGAGGTCAACGTTCTTTGCCATCATGGACGCCCACTCAAAGTGTCTGGACATGCATAGCGTTTATTAATCACCACATGGAGATGATGATAGAAAAAGTGCACAAATCTTTTGCAATACATGGATTCCGGAAGTATTAGTCACAGATAGCTGGTCATCATTTAACAACAGGAATTTGAGTATTTCTTAGTCGAATTGGCATTCGGCATACAAGGCCAGCTCCATACCATCCATTATGCAATGGTCGGGTAGAAATAACAGTCCAGAAACTTTGAAGGCAGGCTTACAAGAAACAACCTATGGCTTCGGTAGGTACCAATCTGTTCCAGTTCTTATTTGATTACTGGACCACCCCTCAAGCAACTACAGGGATAGTTCTAATGGAGAGAAGATTGAACGGACAGAATGGAAAAGGACTGAATGGAAAGTCTCCGGGAATGGCCCTGCATGGGTAAGAGGTACAGTCAACACAAGGTCAGGTCCAGTATTGTCAAAAGGTCCGGGTAGGTACAACGGTCCTAAACAAGCAAGTGGACCATATGAAAGCTACAAACTCAAACAGTCCGGGAGAAAATCTTGCCCAGCTCCTCGACAGTCTTTCCGACTGTTCTTTCTCTCTGTTACATTTCCAAATTACCACTTTCTTCACTTCCCTAAAAAACTAGGCGACGCTAACATCAACACAAAAGTTGGAGCAGTTACCAGGCAACAGCAGCTTGCCACTTGATTCTCTCGGTCTTTATTTAATTGTGCTTCAACCTGAAAGTGAAAGGGGATTAGTCTCTGGGGGGACTGCAGTCAGTCAGGGCTCATCTTTCTTCAGTCCAGGCAGTTTGGCTATGGCCAGTCAGGCCTTGGTCTGACCAGATCCAGGGATCCACTTCCTGGTCATTACTGCAGTTTAAGTGCAACCAGTGCGAGAGTTATCTGTCTATCAGGGTGGTGTGGAGACATCAATCTGGAGGCTGGGGCAATCTCAGTCAGGGTTGGCTGAGAAGTCCATCCAAGGGTGGACCACTGTCTGTCCACAGGGGGCTTATCAGAAGACAGTCCATGGAGTCCTGGAGACGGGTTTCAATAGAATGGATTGCTGAGAGAATGATTATAAGTTCAAGAAGTTGCTATCTTGCCATCTTTGATTCAAAATCAAGTTGGCTGCCACCACATACAGCGTGCACCGTCATTGTTTTTCTCTTCAAGCACAAAGCGAAATTCTTTGAATGTGAAATCCTGCCAGGAGCAATTACATTAATCATGCACACACTGATTCAGCAATACTACCTATCTAGCCTCAGATCCCACTTCATCAGCAGGTCATTCATTGTCTAAGAATGGGCATTACCAATTATCACCTCAAGCAATCGTGACCGTTACACTGTTCACACTAATTGCCTCCTGGTCATTTCACGTCAGCGAATGCAATTGGATGCTAACTAAGTATCATCTGAACTTGGCATTTCAGAATTATCTTCCCCAGCCATCAGTGGAAGAAAATGCTTTGAAGCTGCCATTTTCGTGCATTGAACTATAAACATGCAAAGTCATGGCCTGTAATTTTCAGGGTGGTTTTTCTGCGGGATGAGAGGGGAAAATCGATCATGATGATTTACTCCCAGAATACCACCATTCCACTGTAGCATAAACACTCTGGTTATGCAACATATATTTGTATATGAAAACATACCTCAGAAGTCTTTAGAGACAACAAGGTGCAGAGCTGGATGAACACAGCAGGCCAAGCAGCATCACAGGAGCAGGAAGGCTGACGTTTCGGGCCTAGACCCTTAAGACATGACATAGATTTTCATGTAAAACCTCAAGTGGTGCTGTGTTGGGGCAAAGCATGATGCTTCACTGATTGACGAGGGTCTCTGGAGTACTGTTGGCGAAATGGTGCTCTTTCTGACATTCCCAGTTTCCATCAGCATATGATATGAGATGCTGTTCAGTGATTATGACAGCTAGCACATTGAAAAAGGTCTTAGGAGTTTCCTTTTCACCCTGCCGTTGTTGGTGACCCTTCATTATTTCAGACCGCTTGATGCCAAGAAATATTCAGTCATGTCAGGCCATGTTGAACCTGCAAGAGGCAACAATTTGTGCAACTTTTCTCTGTAGATCACCAAGGTACAAGAAGAGTCAACATGAGAACTGGACATGTGCATTTCCCACCTCTCACATGGGTGCGACATAACCAGGTCAAACAACAAGACACTGGAGCAGACATTTTAAAAGTACAAGTGTATGTGTGGCACATTCATATATAAGTGCAACTTAATTTACAACAATGTGTTACCCAAGCCATTAAGTGCCTCAGTAAGATGCTTTCAAATTTCCTTTACCTCCCACCACTTTGATGTGCTATTCTAACTTCCACAGCTGGGGTAGAGGAAGCCTGCACTGTCCTTGGCCCTGGTGACCTGGAAGACTTGGGTGGTTGACCCAAGGGACATGTGGATCTAGAGGGTCCAGGCCTACTGAGAGCATCCTGTTTAAATGCATGCTCAACCTTCTCAACTTGCATGTCAGCAGATTTTAGCATTATAGGCAGAGGGATAGTAGAGCTTCTGGATTATTCTGAATTGAAGCTTTGAGGATCCTCTGTGTGGACATTCTTCCCTATGGGTTCTTCCCAGCAACATGCCATTCTCCATCTTGCTGTGGGTGCTGAGCACTTATGGCTTCAGTTACAGTGTCAGGTTGTCTGCATATCTGACAGACATCAAATGAGCCCATCCAAAGTAATAGACCGAAACACATATGCTGGAGTCAAGGTACTCATAACATTGATGTACTCCTCCATCCTTTGGTACAGTTTACTGAATACCTCCGACAAACCTGCTTGCTGATCTTGTGCCTGTCTGTACATTTTGACAAAGTCATTAATGGCCAAGACTTCTACCCTGGGCTGAGCAGGTGCCCGAGACCCGGTGGCTCTCTTATTTTTCTAGCCCTGGCGATGTGTCAGTGAGGTACTCACCAGATTGTGCTCCCGAGTCGAAGAGAGATAGAGAATGCACTGAGCTGGGCAGTGCAAGTGAGAGCCTTGCCAGTGCATTCTCTGAGGGTCAAGGACTTTCTCTTCAAAGGTAGAGGGTAAAGGTGGAGATAAGGTCAAGGCTTGCAGAAAATTTCTTTGCAGTGGAGATTCACTGGGAATTGCTAGAGCCTGCATAAAAGAAAAGAGGCAATTCGTGGACTGAAAGGAATAAAAGCTTGTGCAAATTACGAATAAGTTAGTGCTGGTAATAATGAAAGCGCTGCACAGAACAGTGATGCTTACTGAGTTGGCCAAATCTAGGACTTTTTGTTTTATAGTCGGGGAAGTAGCATGTCTGCCATATCAGCCCTTGCTCTGCATAAGCAGCGCAGAGGGCACGAAGGGCTCACAGTCTGGCAAGATGAGATGAGCGAGAGTAATTGACTTAATATGCTATATGCAGCGGTGAAAGTTGTAGTCCACAAGCTATGATGAAAGGCATGCACAATGCACAGTTCAAGTGGTGACTCTGTGAGCTTGCAAGAGAAGATGGCAACATTTACCCTTCTGGAGTGCATTAACCTTCTTTCTGCATCGCTTTCCACTAAGACACTACATTAACCTGCTATTATGGTTCAGGCTGGTTGGATCTCTTGTCATAGCTTCCTTTCATTGTCAGCAGAATACAGCATTACCTTCTTCTCCACAAGCAGGTCCCTGTTGGCAAACCGAGGAGTTACCTTCCCTTTCTGGGTCATATCTTTGGAGGTAATGATGGAGACTGCAGTGAGAACGGTCGGTCCTTGCTTGCAGCATCTGATGCTGAGACCTTTAAATATTGCACCAGTAGTGAGAACGCTGGATGTTCCTGACAGCAGACAGCATTTCCACCTACTAGCTCGCAATCGCACAGGACAGGAGCTATACGTCCTGGATGCAAATTAATGATGAGCAGAAAACTGCATGAAAAATTGCCATCAACCATGGTAGACTCCATGAATCTCACTCAACCAAACATTTTGCTTGAAAATACAAAACTTCAGCCCCAAATTTCAGTCTGACCTATTCACCAAGCTTATCAGAGAGTTATTCAATTTCTTGCATCTTCCAAGTAATGTCTTGATTTTAAAATTTTCGACCTTATTGCAAATCTTTTCATGAACTTCCAACTCCATGATCTTCTCCAGCCCTGCAATCCTCTAATTCTGTTTGCTTAAGCATCCTCAATTTTAACTGCTCCTCCATTGGTGGTTGTACCTTCAGTTGTCTAAGATGCTGGATCATCCTGACTGCATCTATGCGCTTTATTTTCCTCCTTTAAGACAGTTAAAACCAGTCTTTGACCATGTTGCTGGTCTTCTGACCTTATAACACCA